AAGCAGTTCTAAGAGAGAATTTTATAGCAATAAATGCCTACATCAAAAAATTAGAAAGATCTCAAATAAAAAACCTAATTTACATCTGTAGGAGCTAGAAAAAGAAAAACAAATGAAATCTAAAGTCAGCAAAAGGAAGAAAGTAAAGATCAGAGCAGAAATAAAATAGAAACTAGAAAAACAATAAAAAAGGATCAACAAAACTGAGTTTTTGGAAAAGCTAAACAGAATTGACAAACCCTTAGTGAGACTAACTAAGAAGAAAAGAGAAACAAAAGAGGAGACATTACAATGGATACCACAGGAATACAACATAGACTACTATGAATCATTATATATATACCAAGAAATTGTATAACCTAGAAGAAACATTACATTGTACTCCATAAATATGTACAGTTATTGTTTGCCAATTAAAAATAAAATAAAACTTTAAAAAAATCTAAGGAATATTTATTCAAGAAAAATAGCTGAATCTCAGTAGAAACAGTTAACTTTGTGACATTTTTACTTACTTTTTTTCCATCTACCTCTCCCCAACTCCACAGTGGCCTTCAAAATAAGCACTCTCAAGTATAGTAGCTTTGGAAACCAGCAGCCTAACAGCCACTAGAGGGAGCAGAGTGGGTTTGGAGTGCCCTCAAAAGCCCCATCCCTAGAGAATTGTCACTATTTGACCTACCTGGCAACTCCCTTTAAGAGCCCCATTCACAGGGCTAGTCTTTATTTCACCTGACTCAGTGATCATTCAGTGAAAAACCCTACCCCTAGAGTGTTTGTCTAAACAATCAGCAGCATATTGTTTGACATCCCAGATGCCTGAGGCTGGAATACCAGTTAAGGTAAATAAGAGGCTGACCAAAAACTTAAAAGGAATATCAGGGAATGAGATTTCCATAGTGGCCTTTGAAAAGCTCTGACATATTCCTGAGTATGGAGAAGTTCACATGCACTGCAGTACTATGTATATGTCCAGGAAGTACCTGGGAAGGCCCCAATCTCTCAGCTTTAGTGACCTTGAGGCCCTGCACAATCAGGAAGTGAAGATGAAGGCAGAGTAAGCTGCCTAGAACTCTGAAGGCTTGTACAAACTAACACACAGAGCTCCTTTGCAAAACGTTGGAGACACTGGTTGAAGACATGTAATGAAATCTCAGTCCAATCATTAGCTGACCATTAATCTAACCAGGCTGAAACTTCAGTGACTACACATAACAACAACAAAAATTTTTTTTAATAGAATTAGTCTATGAAAGTCACTAAACAAAGAAATAGCAATGACGACAAATTCTGATTGTGGGGAGGGCTCTGATTTAAAGAGTTGCTACATTATATTATTTAGAATATCTAATTTTCAACAGAAAAATATGAGACATAGAAAGAAAAAGGAAAAAGTGGTGCATATATAGGGAAAAAACAGTCAGTAGAAACTGTCCCTGTAGAAGCCTAGATAACATAAATACCAGACAAAGACTTTAAATCAACTATTGTAATAAGAACTAAAGAAAATCATATCAAAGAATTAAACAAAAATATGAAAATGATGTCTTATCAATTAGAGTTTATCAATAAAATAAACTATTTTTTAAAAAACACTAAATATTCTAGAGTTTAATAGTACAATAACTGAAATTAAAAATTTAGTAGAAGGGCTCAACAACAGATCTGAAGTGGAATAAGAATCTGCAAACTAGAAGAAAGAAAATAGAAACTGTCCATTCTTAAAAATAAAAAGAATGAAGAAAAATGAAGATAACCTAAGTGAATACCATCAAGCATACCAAAATACACATAATGGAGTGGAGAAAAAGTAAGGGACTTAAATAATAATGGCTAAAACCTCTCAAATTTTATAAAGATTATTAATATACATATCTAAGAAGCTCAACAAACTCCAAGGAAGATAAACTCAATGAAATTCATACCTAAACACATCAGAGCCAAACTATTGAAAGACAAAGAGAGAATCTTGAAAAGCAGCAATAGAAAAATGATGTACCATTTATAAGGGATTCTCAACAAGATCAACAGCTAATATTTCATTAGAAACTATGCATGCCAGAAGGCAGTGGAATGACATATTCAAAATGCTGAAAGAAAAATACTGTCAACCAAAAATTCTATAACCAGAAAAACTATCCCTCAAAAATGAAGAAGAAATTAGGGCATTCCCAAGTAAACAAAACCTGAGAGATTTTGTCACTAGCAGACTTGTTCTATAAGAAATACTAAAGGCTGTCCTTTAGGCTGAAATAAAAGGACACTTAACAGTCACTTGAATTCACATGAAGAAATAAAAGAGCACCAATAAAAGTTACTACATAGATTAATATAAAATACAGTATAGTTATGTTGTCACTCTTTTCTTATCCCATCTAATTGAAAAAGACAACTGCATATGTAATTGCAAAATTATGTTGGTAGCTGGTTAGAGCATGGTGCTATAACACCAAGGTCAAGGGTTCAAATCCCTATACTGGCCAGCTGGGGAAAAACTGTTGATGGGCTTATAATGTATAAAGATATAATTTGTATGACAATAATAGCACAAAAGAGTAGAGAAGGGAGTGAAGCTATACTGGAACAAAGTTTTGAACAGTATTGAAACTTAGTTTGTATTAATTTGAACCAGGTTGTAATAAATTAAGATATTAAGTGTGTTCCCTGATGCAACCACTGAGAAAAAAAAATTTTTTTTAATATAGTAAAGGAAACAACAAGGGAATTAAAATGGCACACAAGAAAATACCTTTTAAATACAAAAGATGGCGGTAATAGAGAAATAGAGCAGAAAGAAGATAAAAGACTATACAAAACAAAATAAAATTGCAGATGTAAATGTTATATCATTAGTAATTATACTGAACACAATTGGATCAAACACTCCAATAACAGTGCAGAGACTGGCAGATTAAAAAACTATTATCCAACTATATGCTTTATACACAATTCATACTTAGCATTCATAGATACACAAAGGTTGAAATGAAGAGGATGGCAAAAGACAAATCAAACAAATAATAATCAAAGGAGTTCTGGAGAAGCTATAATAATATCAGACAAATAGAATTTAAGAAAAAAATTGTGAAGAGGCAAAGAAAGATAATTTATAATGATGAAAGGGTCAATCCATCAGGAAGACATAATCATTCTAAACTTTAATGCACCTAACCAGAGTCCCAAAATAAGGTTTTAAAAATCAACAGAATTGACAATAGAAATATACCATTCAACAATAATAGCTAAAGATTTCAATACCCCACTACCAGTAGTATAGATCAACAGGGAAATAGAGGACTTGAACACTATAAACCAACTAGACCCAGCATATACCTACAGAACACTACAACAAACAACAGCAGAATTTACATTCTTCTCAAGTGTATATGGAGCACCATATGTTAGGCCATAAAAAAGGCACCAATAAATTTAAAATTATTGAAATAATACAAAGCATGTTCTCTTACCACAATGGAATGAAATTAGAAGTCATTAAGAAAAGGAAATTTAGGAAATTCACAAATATGTGGACATTAGTACTGGCTGGCTGCAAAAACCAAACAAACACACTTCTAAATAACCAATGAGTTAATGAATAAAACAGGAATGACTAAATTGACAGCTCATGGACTCTTGAAGAGGGTAGGGTCTAGAAGAGAAGGAAGAGCAAAAGGAAAAAAGCTGAGAGGGGAAATTTCATTCTGTGCTTACCAACATTTTTATAGTCTACCCTGTGCTGAGAATAGAGACCATTGGGGACAGCCCAGGGGCCTGGATCTTTTGCCAGCCCAGGGAGAGGCCAATTCAGACACAGCTGTGTGTGCTTCCAGCAGCAAAGGAGGTTCAGGCAAGATGCCCCAAGGACGGAAGAGTGACAAGGACAAGGAAGAGACTTAGTGGGTGCATAGGGGAGGGACATCTCTCTCTTTAGAAAAATCACTCTGGCTCCTGGGGGGAAGGCAACTTGAAGGGGAAAAAATTGGAGGAGGGAAGTCATGACCCCAAACACAGTCATGGAAAGTGAGTTCCAGAAAGGTTTGTGGAGGGACCCTTGCCAGGGCTTGGTGATCAACTGTATGTGGGGATGGTGAGGGAGAGGAAGGGGTCTCTATGATCACCTCTTATATACTTCAGCGATAGAGCCCAAAGGGACAGATCTGTAGTGGGTGGGGACGGGGGTGAGAGGCAGTAATGAACAGAGGAGAAGGAGGGTGTCATACTTACCTCCCATGACTCCAAGTGTTTGCTGGCTGGATGCTCCGCTATGGGGGATTTCTTTGTTGTCCCTCAAGTCCATGGGTCTCTGCATTTGTTTTTTGAGAGGTAAGGTGGGGCCCAGTGCATTAGCCAGCTGCGGAGGCCAGAGGCAGGTTGGGCTGGAGACAGGAAAAAGCTTCTAGAGAACAGGAAAGAAAAAAGTCTGAGGAAGCTCTTTAAAAATGACTACTCTTTCAATTTTTGTATCAGGGAACCAAACACCATCCTGTGTGTTATGTCACTTGATCCTTATACCCGTCTAGGGAGCTCAGCAGAGCTGGGTCTCTGCCTTCCCCAGGGCTTTCAGGGTTTCTAAGCTAGCATGGGCACTCAGGTGATCCAGAGCACTTTCTGGACACAGGATAAGGGCACTGCATGTCCCTGTCCCTTTTCAGGGGAGCAGAGCATGGATCTGAACTATTTAATTACTTGTCATAGATAACATCCAGAGAGAAAGTAAGGGTGCAAGGTATCTCTTCCAACTTGGGAAGACTTCCCCCAGGGAACACCCACTAACCCCAGTTCTGCTTCCGAGCCCTCTAAGCTGTGTGCCGAGGGAGCCCTCTTTGCAATCTTCTCTACCCCAGCCTCACGCAGCCTCAGGACCCCAGTACTGAAGGAACAGGGTCTGACCTCATCTTTCACTGTAGGAATGGGGAGATTGAGGCAGGTGGGGAAGGGGGCAGCCTGCATGGAGCTCTTTCCTTTCAGGTCTTGGTCTCCCTCTGCAGGGATGGAAAGACATGGCATGGAAATTGACACCACTCCTGCTGCTTCTGGCCTGGGTAGTCACCACGTGCAGCTCCCGGGACAGGACGGACCTGCTCAATATCTGTATGGACACCAAGCACCACAAGACAAAGCCAGGTCCTGAAGACAAGATGCGTGACCAGGTATGGCTGGAGTGTGGCTCCAGCTGGAGAGGGGACTGCTTCCGACAAGGAGAAGGAAGTCAGTTTGCCAGGAGAGGAGTTGGAGGGTCATACACCCCCACACCCTGAGTTATTGTTGTGGGAGAAGATGAAGGTGGAGTAGGGAGAGTGGTTGAGGTAATTTTTTTTTTTTTTGGCACTCTAACCAGCTGAGCTGACCAGCTAGCCCCAGATAATTCTTTTTTGTTTATTTATGTTTTTTTCTTTTTCTTTCTTTTTTTTTCTCTTTTGGCAACTATAATTTATTTTATTTTATTTATTTATTTATATTTATTTTTATTATTTTTTAAAATTTTATTTTGTCGATATACAATGTGGTTGATTATTGTGGCCCATTAGCAAAACCTCCCTCCCTCCTCCCTCTCCTCCCTCCCATCCAACAATGTCCTTTCTGTTTGCTTGTCGTATCAACTTCAAGTAATTGTAGTTGTTGTGTCTTCTCCCCCCCCCCCGGGTTTTTTTTTTTTTTTTTTTTTTTTTTTTTTTTTTTTTTTTTTTTTTTTTT